TACCAGGTAGCACCCTCCAATAGCCTCCCTCCCCCCACTAGAGCCATTATACTCTGATATCCCTGCTACTGTCTGCTGGGTTGTTGGCACCCCCAGCCATTCCCCACTACTTGCTCTTCTGGTGAATCTAGTCAGCCTATCTAGAGGTCTTTGTTTTAGGAGTGTCAGCTGCTCCTCATCTAGCAGCAATCAGTTGTCAATATCCCTTTATATAAGATTGGGGTCTGCTGTTCATTTTCCCAGTTCTATGCTGGGTTACTATCTGGGAATCCCTTTGGCCACCCTGGCCAATAACTCAGAAGAAGGTATTTCCTATCTGGCATTGTTGCTTGTTATGTAACCTTTAGCTATGCATATGGACTCTTAAGAAATTATATTGACCTCTTTAATCTTTGGTTGTACTTTCCTTTTGGGTGTTTAAGACCGTACAGTTGGCCCACATAAACAAATTTATTTTTACTCTTAAGGTCGTTTGAGGATCTGTTCCTCAGGGGTCACATGGGCTTGGGAGGAGCCCCTGGCTCCTTTCTTTTACCAGTTCAACCTATGTGAAGATAAGTCAAAGGTCCAGCTCGACCATGATTTGGCTTTGCTTGGAAGCATGGAGGAAATGATTCCTCTGTGTTGACCCTCCTCTTTGTAGACTGGACACTGGTTCAAGTCCATCTTGTGGGGTCTCCTCAGCCTCCTTGATCAAGAGGACAGGTGACCCACCACAATGACAAGACATTTTGAGAGATGCTCATAGTTCCCTGGAACTAGTCGACCTACGAGGGCTGGGAGCAAAAACTGTCCTTTATGTCCCTCTGACCAAATTATTATAGGCCTCAAAGTATGTCTGTTAAACATCAAAGAAGTTTAGTTCTACCAGTCTGGTACTTTTAATCACCATGTGTCATGTAGATAAATCTTGGGCAAAGGGCCAAATATGAATTTTTTACTCAAGATCAGAAGGTTTATGGATGGCTACCATGTTATTGAGTACCAGATTTAAAGTCTAGAACTCTTTCTCACACCTTGCATTGCCTCTCAATTGAATAAATTAAAAGAGAATTTAATCTAAATAATTTTCATGGGTTACAGAATAAATGCCATTCAATCATGATTTATGAAAATACTCAAGGAAAATTTTCTTGATTGTGAGTTTATTTCTTCTTTCATATTAAAACAATATTTCCATTTTAATCAACAAAGTAACAGATAATGTACACTTTTTTCTCATTTCTCTGTGTTTGTGACTCACAGGTTTAGGATTATGTCTTCAAGATATTTTTCTATAAATTTTACATTTTTCTCAGAATCTATTTGATTTCCAATATAACAGTAACTAGATTTTACATAGAAATCAAAAACCATATGAGAGAAAGATAGTTCTGCAAGTTACTATGTATCTCAATAAATTCAATTCTCACCAATATTTTGTTTGTAGAATGTATAACTTGGGATGGAAACTTACAATGAATTTGATAACATTAATATAGATAAAATAGTATATCTATTCTTAAACTCCTACTTACAGACATGAAATGGGAAGGTTATGAAAATAAGAATATTAAAATCCATGTTCTTTTTTTCTATAGGACCTAACAAATACTTCATCAGCTCTTCTGCTTTCAGAAGAAATAACAATACCAGAACCAGAAGGTAAAAATGCAGCCAGTAAGCAATCCGTGAAAACATGCCATCCATCATTTATATCACAGCCCTGCCTGGGGCAGAGGGGGACGTGGAAGGAAATGGAGGGAGGGACATGACCACAGAAGATATCAGGAGAAGGAATGAGGAACCAGGGAGCTTTGAATACTTGCCTATATGGTCATTGGAGAGAAAGTGTAAGGTAGGCCATGCCTACAACCAAGGATAGAGGACAGGATTACAGGGTATCCGTTCACCCTCCTCCTTCAAGTAGTTGCTCACTTTTACCTTTATGAAAACAGTTAGGAGACATTATGTTTACTCTTCTGTTCTATCCTCTTCTCACATCTCATTTTTCCTTTTCACCTATGCAAGTTTGTGTGTGACTAAGAGTGGAACTGGGTGCATTCTCCAGATTTGCATTGTACAGAGGAAGGTTGTAGATTCTGGTCTCTCTAGGTCATAAGAACAACAGTGCCTTTTGATAAAACTGGATTTGTTCTTAATATTTGACAGTAGCAATAGAATCAAGCTTCCTAAAGCCACAAAGGTCTCTCCTTTGGCACTGGACTTAAGCCCTTCAGATTCTCTGTAGAGCCACTGAATGCAAACATTCTAAGTACTACATAACTATCTGTGTGTGTTTGTGCTTGTGAAGCTTTGCCGTCCTAAAGCTTGTCCACATGCTGTCAGAAAGCTCAGCTCCTCCTGTATAGTCACCACTGTTCACTGTCACCTTAGAACGATATACAGGTTTTCCATATCCACGCCACTATTCCGTGGCAGGCGGCTTTCCGTTTCTTTCAAATAACACTCTCAGCCTCTTTGCCCAGATATTTCATTTCTTAAGAGATAATTTTAATTAATTTTTAAAACTATTACTATTTTGTGACCTTTTGTTATAAATTCTGAAAAAATTTTCCCATAGAATTTTCCTAAAAGCCACTTTTCTGATTTCTACTGTAATTTGCCTTTGAAAATAGCTGTAACTTGATAATTCAGGAAAATACAAGATTTATAAATTAGGACTTTAACAATGTTTTTTGAAAAAGTTTATTTATTTTCCAAAGAATGAACTGAATTGTGCATTTCAAATCGTTTATTAGCTTAGGCCGTGTCAGGAAGGAAGTGGAAAACTTCAGGCCACACGGTGGCCAGGATCTCAAAAGCTGTGATGAAGGCCGTTCTGAGTGCTCCTTTTGCATTCCTGCTCCGAGTGTTATTAGACATGGCTGAATCTAGTGCCTTCATTCCCCAACCAAAGAGGGTCAGCTACTTGCATGGTTATTAGCTGTCAATGCTGGGAGTTTGTTCTTACTTCATCTCTTCTTACTAGGTGCCAATAATAATGAAGCTGAAGAAGTCAAACCGAGTGATAGTTTTTTTAAAGTAGGTATTTTAATCTAATTTTCAAAACTAGTATATTAAAATGTGTCTTTATTTTGTGGCCTTTTGTTATGTATTCAAGTGAAGAGGAGTGAAATAACAAGGCTCTTCTCTTTTATTTTAAATTAAGTTTGCTAGTACAAGAATTCCTAAACTGAGTTTCCCTGACACTGTTTATAGTCTTGATATTTTTTCCTAAAGAAGTGGAAATTAGTATTCTGTTTTGCAGGGTTAGCAAAAGTATCATATACTTTTTTTCTAAAAAAGATGTTTTAGATTTATACCAGATTTCATTGTGTCATTTTCCTTACCCATTAATTTATGACTTAATTTATTTTCATACACTCTTTTCCATTAAGGATTTTTTTCTCAAGAATTTATCCGCAGCCTTATGGGTGAATCTTCAAAATTCCTTAGGAAACTTGAAATAAATTCACTCGATATTGTTTCTATGGAAGCTAGCATTTTCATAAATAATGTTGGCTGAATATATAGGGAAATAGTTTTCCTCAAATTACATGACAACTAACAGTTTATTTCATTTTCTTTGTTTTTATTATATTTGATTATTTTTAAGAAACAGTTCAGCATGGAAAACAATTTTATAATTCATATTTAAAAATTAATTTAATCTTGAAAAATGTGGAAGAACCTAAAATCAAGCATTGACCATGAAGACTGGTGAAGGGGGCACAGGGTTAGACAAAACAGCAAGAAGAGCCTGGCAGCCTTACTCTATGTGTCTGAAATATGAACTAACCAAAAGGTTGGATTTATTTTTATAATTCCATCCATTGGTTTATGAATACCTCAAAATCCACATTCAACTTCATCCAAAGAATGTACTTTTCCAGTTACACTGTATTAATTATTTGGACATATCGGTAAACAAAGAAAGTCAGAGATCCTGCTATTATAGAGCTCACATTCTAATAGAGGCTGGTAGGTAATAAACCATAAACATAAGTAGATGAATTGTATCACATAGAGCAAGATAATAATCTCTAGGAAAAAAATAAAAGTAGGGCACAACAAGAGTTTCAGTACCATAAGCCTTTAGGTAGGGAGGGGAGAGAATGTGGCCATATAAATGGAGTAGCCCTGCTGGAGAAAGCAAGATTCAGGAAAATTGAAGAGGCAAGAGAATCAGCCAATTGATTCTAGGACACATCCCAGGCAAAACAAATGGGTAGACAGTCACGGAGCAGACATGTGTCTGACCAACAGGGTAAGACAGTGAAGAATGAGGTCAGAAAGATGATGAAGGAAGTAAAAGAATCAGGTCAGTCAGGGCCTTATGGGAAATTATTGTGACATTTGGGATAGGAGAGAGTGCTTATATGGTTTTGAGGAGAGAAGCAATATCATTTGATATCAAATGTTCTTTGAAGGGACCGAGTTAAGAGTAGGCTCTGGGAAAGCCCTTGTTCTGTGATGGTGCATAACTTATGCTGAATTAACCCTCATGCAAATGATAATTATAAATGCTGTACAAAGCAGAAAATCATTAGAGAGTGAAATTAGGACAGAAAAAAAGCCAACCCTCAAAGAAGAAGCAAAAACAAAGTTGAAAATATTCGGAATTCGACCACTGAAAGAGCTGCTGACTAAGCAAGAGCCATGAGTCACATCTTCCCAGATGGTTTGCCCCCATGAGATATGAATGGCTGAACTGATTCCTCCTGATTGAGAATATCAGACAAAGAAATTTGGGATACTTGAGCAGCTAAAAATTAGAGTGGGAGTTGATAGAATGGAAGTAACTCCAAAGAAAATGTCTCAAAATTGGTGTGGAGATTTTCCTTGTGCTTCCCTTACTCCAGAAGTGTAAGTTCCATGTCTTCCTTAGAGAGCATGGCTACCAAATTGTTTTAACTCCAAACAGTTGGAATTGAACCTGACTTTCAAATGAGCTGTCTTCTGCCATTCATTGTTTCTTTTCACAGCTTTCTTTGCGTGCTCAGCTCGGTGCAAAATCAGAGCAATTGCTTAAAAAAGGAAAGAGCATTTCGGACATATTGCTGGTTAACATCATGGTAAATGCTATTAAGTATGTATTGCATTTTTCTTTCCTGTTCATATTTAATGTATTTTCCTACATGTATGTGTACATGTGAGTGTGTGCGCATGTGTGTGGTGTGTGTGTATGTGTGTGTGGTGTGTGGTGTGTGTGTGTGTGTGTGTGTGTGTATGTGTGTGTAGGCCTGAGGTTGATCTCAGGATTCTTCTTCTCTCTTACACATTATCCTTCAAGGCAGGGTCTCTCAGTCAAACCTCAAACCCCATGCTGCTAATACAAACTGACCTCTCTACCCAGCTTGCTCTGGTGATCTTGTTTCCACCTCCTGAGTCTAAAATTGCAGTTCAATTGCCATAGCCACCCAGCATTTACATGAATTCTGGGAATCCAAGCTCCAAGCCTCATGGCAATCTCTTTAACTGCAGAGCCAGCTCTCCCACCCATTTAGTGTATTCTTTACCATGCAAGATCATGAAGAGTATAGAGAAATACATTTTTTTTACTTTTAATATTCAATCTTTCTACTATATAAACATATTTACCAGTAAGATAAAGGTAAACATATAGATAGATTTGCATGCCTATTTTTCACTTCATTCCTTTAAACCTTAACTTCCACCCTGATGTAAATATTCGATTGCCTTTGGAAAATTCAGGCACAAGAGACAATTAGAAAAGCCGAAGGACAAGTTGAGAGCTATGAAATCCTAACAAACAGGCTGATGCACTTACTCCTGTTGTGTTTCAGACAGAGAGTGGGAAGGGAGACCAGGGACCCAAGGCTAAGCAGCACCAGGGCAGAAGGCAGTGGTTCACAGGCTAGGTGGAGCCCAGATGCTTAACACAGAGATGGAATAGATAGGGGATGATAATCCAAAGGTCCTGCCATTTTGTCATTTCTATGCTCTCTTTTACATGTAGGAAGGACTCTCCTCAACTTTCTTTTGTTCATTCATGTATATAAAGAGAAATTACAGCAAGCAATTTAATTTAATCTGTATAGTAAAGGAATAAATCCACACAAGATGGAAAAAAGACTAAAAGTCTCTGTTGAAAGAGTTAGTGTAAAGTTAGAGAGGAAACAGAACTAGTTAGCTGTGGTATATGTGAAACATTATGATACATGAGGAAGGAGATTTCAGAGAATTCTCACTGTTTATCTGGGATGAGCTTGTAATGTTTTCATAGCAGACTACATTAAAGTTTTAAGTGGCTTCTCGATATGATGTAGCTAGCAACTGGACCACAAGCTGCTCCCCGAAGAGCAGGAAGGTTCTTATTCTAACATTTCTCAGAATTGGCATAAAGTACACTTCAAATTTGATATTTTCTGCTCAAAGATAAAATGGACTTTCAAAGCATCAAGCAGATCTTCACTTTGTTTGGTTTCAGTGGAGCTGGAGGAACTACACCCCACCATCCAAACTCAATCACCCTACTGACACCAAGCACCATCCCCATTTCCGCTAAGACACCTCCAGAGGATTGTTATTAGTATAAAATCCTTCAATATATTCCAATGAGGAGAGAGACATAAGATGTTCCAGTTAGATATCAGTATATATCTAGCAATGCAACCAAAATCGCAGTCACCTCCCTTGGCCCCCTGATGTCTGGAATTTCACTCTATCACTAAACAAGTGGGGCTCTCATTTCCTCCTCCTCTTTCTTTCTTTTCTTTTTTTGAATTTTTTTAATTGAAACTTTTATCTATTTCATATAGAACATCTCAAACAATCTTAATCATCTCTATGCCCCCGTACACACTGGCACCCTCCCGTAGCCTCCAAACTGGGGCCCATATACTCTGTCATTACTGTTAAGGCCTACTATGTTGTCAGTGCCCCCAGCCATTCCCTAGTGCAAGTCCATCTGCCGAATCAACAAATCCAATCTCTACAGTATGTGTTATTTATCTCTGGAGAAATCATTAAAGTAAATATAGTCTTTTCCTGCTCATGATAGTTGGGGAAGGGGAGATAAAGGCAGAACCAGCAGGACACTTGAAACTTGAATCAACAAATCCAATCTCTACAGTATGTTTTATTTATCTCTGGAGAAATCATGAAAGTAAATATAGTCTTTTCCTGCTCGTGATAGTTGGGGAAGGGGAGATAAAGGCAGAACCAGCAGGACACTTGAAACTATTTTGAGAATCATTTGGGGCCACTTGAAGCTTTATGATTATGACCAAG